TCTCCCGTTCGGCTTGTGCTTTTGTTTTCGGAACCCTGTGTGCTTTGGTTGGTGCTTTACAGTAAAAGTGACGGTGCACTGCGAGATGCATAATTCGCGATACCTATTAAGAGGAGGCTTTTAGACTCTTTGCAGTTGTATTTGATATTATAAATTAACTGGTAGAATATGAATGATTCATTTCCGAATTTAGGTTGTACTAAAGAGGTAGTTCTGAATAATTCAACCTTTTCTTTTCAGAGGCTCATTTTGTGGCGACAAGTTAATTTTTTGTCGGGTCATGTTGGGAGAGGTAAAACAGTTTTGTCCCTTTTGTTTTGATTTGGTGCTTTCCATAAATTCGATGATCTCTTTGAATGATTTTTCAATACACCATGCAAATTAATCATTAGAGGTCTGAATTTGAAGGTTTGCGACAAGATGTCTTCGTTTATTCGTAAATATAACAGAATAACAAGTCTAGGAGATTTCAGTAGCCAGCATCTTTTTCGTAAATAAATGTTTTTATCTGAATGCGTAGTTGTTAATATATTTTAGTGCGTGTACGTCCAACGTAGTGCTGATTTTCTTTGCTTATCTGCATTCAAACAATAAGAAATAACTTAAGTTGCAGCACCTTTTACAGTAAACTCGACTTGTTCTCAGTAGTCAAATGAATAAAGGGGGTAAGTTTCTAAAGAAACTGTGGTTCTGCGTTGGTGGGAGTAACAAGGTAAGTTGGTAATATCAGCTAAGTTGACACTGTAAACTGGCCACCGTAAAAAGCTGACGTTTCAAGCGTTAGCCCTTCATCAGAACGATGAATGAAGGGCTCTGATGAATGTCTAATGCTCGAAACGTCAGCTTTTTAACTGTTTACGTTGGCCAATTTACAATTTCAACTTAGTTGATATCTGTATTCGTATTTACGAATATTTATACAAGGTAGCCCAGTTCAGTTAATGGCTGGTTTAAATGGGGCCCTGTGACACGCACTTATCCCACCCCACGGGAGGACATCCACCCCACAGTAATCTCGTGCGTGGGAAATTAACTTTTCCTACCCCTAACCCTGCAGGAGACGGGGCCTATGGTTTATTCGTCCTTATCCGAGAAGACTAGAACATCTATCCATTTCTTGATATTATAGAAAGGTAGCAAATTCTCCTCAGTTATTTTATGAACATGAGTTTTGGTCCGGCCGGGACTCCACCCCTCGACCTCCCGCACAGCACAATCCGGGGCTCTAACCAATTGAGCTAACCGTGATGTTACCAAATTACCTTGTTCTCAGTAGTGTTTGAAGTCGTTATGAATTTACATGAATTCTCACTGGCCTCTCGACCCAGTCTCTTTGTATTGATCGGCCATCTAGATTTCTTCAATTTAGTTTCGAGACTCTCTACTGAAATGTACTCTTTGTCTTCCAAATGGATGATTCCTAAGTATCACCACTTCGAATATTGTTTATGTGCGTATGAGTAGTTGTGTTTCCACTCTGTGTCCCTCTACCCACCCCACCCCACCCCACTTGCGGCGATAACCTTTTATATGTAAAAAAGTGTAAATGGCCCAAATACCAGATTGGTATACATGAATACGAGACCGGGAAACTGAGAGTGCAAAAGAATTAAAAAAAAGGAAAGTTTGTATAATCTGCGCCTCTCTGAATGGCTCCCCTTTATGCCACTTTCATTTTTAGGTGTCGTGCGATTTTACAAGAAAAAGCTGTATAAATTATCGGATCGCTCGTGATCACTTCCCGCCTCAAGGCAAGTAGTTGGGGGGGGAGGTGGTTAGAGCTTGACACTATGCGTTGGCAGGACATGTTACTAATGTGAACCCTTTCTTACGCGGCAGCTCCGCACATTAGATAGGTAATATGTATGTTTCATTCATTAAAGGACTTTTAAACAAAAATCAAGCGGCCCCACATAAGGAGACCAGTTTACTTTTGATAAACTTGCAAAGCCTAGAAGTGATTAATGAGGCCGGGAAAGAGGACGTTACTAGTTCGAGTGTGTTGCCGAATTCTTACCCTAACTTTTCCTAGCTAAATATGACGCCGGTTTATCCATGTTTTGAATGAAATTCTAAGTCAGATCCTAGGAGATAGAATAAAAGAATAAAAAAAGAGGAAAGAAGAAGAAATAAAAAACATGATAATCAATAGTTTTAGGCCGCCTTCATAATATTTACTTGCTTCCACGTCAGTCATGATTAAAAAAATGAATAAAGGCTGATCGTTTCAAAAGAAAAGGTTTGGCGCTGCGTCGGTGTGAGTAACGAAAAAATTTGGATATATAAACAAAGTTGAAATGGTAAATTAGCCACCGTAACAATTACAAAAGCTGACGTTTCGAGCGTTAGCCCTTAGTCGGAGCGAAGGGCCCTTCGCTCCGAC